CTTGCTGCTTAGGAGCAGTTGAATTGATAAATACAGAAAGAAGTGGCTAGTCTAGGCAATTTATCTTTCAATCTCAGGGTAATCATTGGACATATGGAAAACATTAACTATAGTTTACTTCCATTAAAAGCTCTTTGGATTGATCTACGTAACTTTAGTCTTAGCATTTCACTACGTGTATCTCCTCTGAATCGTAAGCGTATATACAAGGGCTTTTCGCTCATGTTCAGGCATTCCTTGTGCTCTCTTTTATTGGTTATATGTTTATTTATAAATTTCTCCGGCTATCCGTTTTTTTTCAGGATCATGTACAACGCCTTTTGTCATCTTTAACCGCATATAGAAAGCATATGTTCTAGATTCCTTAGTGCAGTGTCTTAATTAGGTTCCTTTTATGTTGTAGAGGAACAAAACTAAGAAATTTCTATATTAGCCCGTCTAAGTAGTTTTGTTGTTTACCTTTCTTCTTAACGGCCCGTCTTTTCTCCTTGTAAGTGGAACGTCTAGAAAGGCTATTCTACCTCCATTTTCCTACTCACATGTGGATATTATGGACGGTTGAACTGTATTGAATCGCTCGAGTGTTTCTGTCAAACCAGTATGGTCGTTACAAAAAATAAACGTATCGTCCATATATCGGCAGTAAAATGAAAACTTGTCAATCCGTTGTGCCAGTGGGCCGTTTTCTAGTTTAGAGAGCAAAATGTCAGCCAATATGGGACCTAGGAGTGAACCCATCGCGATACCATCTATTTGTCTATACATTTCACCATTGAATTTGAGATATACATTCATAGTACATTTTAGTAATAATTCTTTTGATGATCTCCACTGAGATTCTAGTTTCTATTTCTTGTTCTCTAAGTTGTTCACAAATATATTCTATTGTCTCTCTGAGTGAGACGTTTGTGAGCTATGACGTTACGTCAAAAAACATCATCGTTTGACCTTTTGTATTTATGTTTTTTATCTTGTCGACGAACTGGGATATTCATTCATTTCAAAGGAATGTATAGAGGTAGAAATCGGCGTATATACAGTGAAATCGTCTGCATATTTAATAAGTATTTTCTGTGGAGGATGACAGATCATGGAGAAAAAAATAAAAGGGGAAAAACATCTTGTCTCATATCTTCATGAGTCAGTAGAGACTTCGAACACTTTCCTTTAAACAGTATACAGTTCTTCTCCAGATAGGTTAGAATAGAGCCAGTTGGTTATCCATCCGTTAATGTTGGCGTTGATTAACTTGTTAAGTAGAAGTCGACTTTGGGACGGTGTCAAAGGCAGAAGTATAATTTAGAAAAGCGCATCGAACATACTTCTTTCCCTTTTTCAAGCTGAACACTATGTTGTGATTATTTTTTATCTTTCTCCACATTTTCGGTGCTATGTTAGTTGGGGAGGATTTGTTATGGATGCTAGTGAATGGATGATGCGGGACGTCATCACACTTCTCAAAGAAGACGTTTGGCACTCATCAGATCTTAAACATTAAGATGAGTTAAGTGACTGGAGACATGTTCGGATATCAGCTTCAGTGAAAGTTGGAACACAAATATTCTTCAGTCTTGTGGATATAGGAAGCATGACATCAGATGAATGACGTACAAGGCTTATTTAAGTCACAAACATTCAGCTGGTTTTCGTTTCTAATATGTCTCTCACCTGTAAGCTATTTAAATGGTTTCACAGGCTTGATGAGTTTTTACAAGATATGAGTTTCTAAGTAAACATTAAGTTCAGACGTATAATCTGTAGGTTTGTTAGACCATTTGACTTTCTAACTTCAATGGAGCTTTTCTCGTTATACAGTCTTTCTTGTATCTTCCGTAATCGTTTTAGCTGTGGGGATGTGAGTCGATCAAAACTTACAAAAATGGTCTCACTGGGACAACAAATATCGAAACAAAATTTAAGATAGCGAGTTATAACATCAACGGTGTTTTCCAATGACTCATCTGTAAATCATCCCCAGTTTTATTTTTATTTAAACACATAAATATTGGTACAAAGGGGCACCAGATATATATGTGCCGCACAAATCTCATTTGATTTGTGTGAGGGCTATGATACTGCCCAGGTGCCCAAACCGTAGCAGGTGGTTTTCTTAGGGTGCGATACCCAGAGATTTCGACCTAAAGGTCTAACCCACAAGGCGGTGGAGCATTATGAGGAGATGCAGTCCCATGGTGGCCGGTGACCAACAATTGGTTTATACTCCATTTGTTCCCTCAGGATACTGGAGTCAACCCATGTTCACCATTGGTTTGTTATCAAGGTTTTGCAACTCCCCTAGGTGAACTTTCCGTGTCCGTTAACCCAGTTAAAGCACCGGACATTCGCTTTTCGTTCTCTTGATTTCGTAGACAACAGTAATGTCACGAGAAGGCAGTGAGTAGGACTTGTGTGGCAGAGGCTATATACGCGTAGCCATTTGAGAGCATTTGGAGAGGGAGAGCAGACTCTGCCCACTCTCGGCCGTACCAGGGCATTTGGGGGGCTTTAGGTAGGACACGAATTATACAATGATCATAACTAGACAATGGAACAAGTTCACGAGTCATACACATTCCTACACCATTCATAAGAACTACGTCCAAAGGGGTATCCAAACTAGTGGAAAAATCTACATTTTTGTGATCTAGTGATAAAGGAAAGCTATGGTTACATGAATTAAAACCACCACATAAAATTAAAAGTGAACCTTTAAAGGTAGTAGCAGCAAATTTAGTGAATTCGTCAAAGAAAACAAATGATGTACAGTCTGGAGTCACGTAGATGTCGGTAACATAAACACAGTTGTATTTATTCAAATGTTTTGGACGGCATCTTAAAGTTGAACAGTCGACGAATTCTTTTGAAAACTTAAAACATACAAAAGTATATCGACACTAGTTCACACTTACAAATGTGACTACACTGCCTTCACACTTTTTTTTTCTTATTATTTGACCAATCCTGACGATAAATATTGAAATTCGGTAGTGATATGAATCGATCGTCTTGTAAATCATTTAACGAAGGTTGTGTGTGATTACACCACAGTTTATATACATATTTAAACATAGTAAGAATTGGAGACAGTCTACCTTGCTAATTAATGATTTACCGTTAAAACCAAGCAGTTCAGGAATCATAACCTGATTAATGTTCTTTCTTTTTAATGTGTATTGTTAGGCACCACGATGTATTTGATCGTACTTATTTGTACTTTGTGAGGCGATAGGTCGTAAAATCTTCATTAATGCACCTAAGTAGTTTGTGCAATTAAGATACTTACTTACTTACGCCTGTTACTCTCAATGGAGCATAGGCCGCCGACCAGCATTCTCCAACCCACTCTGTCCTGAGCCTTCCTTTCTAAATCTATCTAGTTTTTGTTCATTCTTCTCATGTCTGTCTCCATTTCTCGGCGTAATGTGTCCTTTGATCTTCCTCTTCTCCTTTGACTGTCAGGATTCCATCTGACAGCTTGCCTTGTAGCGCAATTTTCTCAAAGTGTGCCCTATCCACTTCCAGCGCCTCTTCCTGATTTCTTCCTCCGCTGGAATCTCGTTTGTTGTCTCTTACAGTAACTTGTTGCTGATAGTATCTGGCCAACGGATCCGAAGTATCTTTCGTAGTCAACTGTTAATAATCACCTGTATCTTCTGGATGATGGCTTTTGTAGTTTTCCACGTCTCCGTCTCATACAGTAGAACTATCTTGACATTCGTATTGAAAATTCTGAATGCAATTAAGATACATAATAATAAATGGCAAGAACACGTATCCCAGTTATTCAAGCAGGCTGCCTTCTAGCTTGACTTTACTTGAAACTAAAATTTCCAAAAGAACTAACGGTATATCGATCAATTATTTATTCCCCACTCCATAGTTTTGTTTTTGTAATACAACCTCTGATATTTGTGGGTCATTTGTTGTGCTTTTTTGTTTCACTATTTTTTCATTAACCTACTCAAATCAAATAAAGTAGTATAAAGTATCAAATGTTATTTTCTAAAACATTTTGAAATTTTTAATCCGTTTTGTATTGTTTACTTGAATCTTTCCATTGATGTTTAGGACTTTATTTGATCAGTTCTTTATTGGCATATATACATCTTGTGCGTATTGATTAAAGTTGCAAGCACTATAAGCAAAGATGGATGGTAGCTAGTAATGGCATCCAGGACGTGCATTTTATCTCCCAACTTGACCCTGTTTTGATCCTATATTCGTTCATTATTTTCATTACTGATTGGTTAATTAAATTGATTTCGATGGGTACATCAATTGCTCATTGATCTAAGTGTCGAGCTTCTAGAATCCTTTGGACAAGACTAAACTTTATGGACGATCTTTGAACGAATCTTAAATGACTTTGATAAATATTAGCCAATCAGAAGCCAGTTAGTATACAGTAAAAATATATTATACAAAACTAAAAAATTAAAGCGGATACTGTTCTTTTACACTACTCAAAAACTTCTCAAGGTCAGATATAGGTTCAGAAGTTCTAAAATCATAGTGGATACGGTACAAGAACTCATCCGTATGGCTCCATAGTAGTCGACCTCTGGAGCCATGTTAAGGTCTCAAAATTCTTTTAGCCTCGACCGCATAGCTTAAATGTTGTTGGTATGGTTTAGGCTTAGGGTCTTAACCTTAATGGTGACCGAGCGAAAAAAATCATTTGAGTACCACATTCACATGTATTGGAACTCCGTTATAATCACTTCTCTTGTGGACATTGAATTTTCACGTCTTCTCTAAAATCCGCTGTAAACCTTTCGTATATCAGCATCAGGCACCGAACTTAGCGCCGTGACCTTGAAAACCCGCGAAAGCTTCTGATTGGCTCGTCCATAATGTTTAGTCCCATCATCTTTTGATCATTGCCTAATCTGAAAGAGGCCATTTGATTTTTATATTTTCAAAAACTCCTCATTCGTTTATTGCTGATTATTATTATAATTAATATTATTATTATCATTTCAATTCATCCTTTTATACAGAACACAATCATATACTTTTATTACTGGTATTCGAATATCTGACCAACCAATCTTGATTACAGAACATGATTTAATTCAATTTAAATCAGATCTTGGCCATTTAGCCAAAGAACGAACACGATTAGAATCATTAATTTCATCGGAATTAATGTTTGCTTTAAGTTATCCAGAAAATGAATTACGTAAAGAACATATTGATGCTTGGAATCTCGTAAGTTGATTCTGATGAAAATTACAATTTTATAATTAAAAAAACAAGCCATTTTTTAATATAAATCATGAAAATGTGTACCGTTTATTGAACTTTCCAACAGTTATATCTAAATTATTTGCTTCAATAAAAGTTTACTAGTGTATCCTGTTGGGTAAACCTATCGGCAAATTATTCTGTGATTATCAGAATGAGGTTTTGTGGAGATTTTAGTTATTTTATATAGTTGAAATCATGAGTCAATTGAAGCTAGACTACCATGGAAAACCTGGAAGCACTGGACAGCCGTTTTGTCCTATTGTGGGACTCCTCAGTGGCAGTGCGCATCCACGATCCCGCCTCACGAGGTTCGAACCCAGAACCTATCAGTCTCGCAAGAGAGCGCTTAACCACTAGACCACTGAAATGGCCAGCATTTAACGGTGTTAATGTCTAACTTCAACCAAACCACGAAATTGAGAAACGATTAACCAATGTCTTTAGTTAGTGGATATCTCGCAACAGACCTGGTTGAACTCTACTGGTTATTGTTTCTCACTAGAACTCCAGGAATTACATCATGGAGCCAGTCACTAGTTGTTATTATTATTACTATTATTATTATTATTATTATTATTAGCTTTATTCAATATTATATTATTTGGTACAAAATCGAATTCTCAGCATAAAATATTTCAACATATTTACTTTTCTTATTTCTTCGTTGCTTCTGATGATAAACATTCAGTGATCGCCAGTTGGATATCAGCAGTTCATTCAATTGACATATGAATAATGTATATTTTTTTGCTGCATGTTCCCAGCAAACACGACATCTCTGATTAGGCCTTTTGTAACCTTCACAGCGAAAGGTTGTACAGTTTTCAGAAACTCACCGGAATAGGTTGTGTGCTTAATAGCCATAATTATGTATTGAAACAAACAATATTAGATAACTTGTTGAAATATATAGATGACGGGAAACAGGTAGCCCAGATGTTTAAGCAGGCCGCCCAAAAGAAGTAGTAGTAGTGTAGTGAACAGAACACGACTGAGGACAGTCGAATGTATTTAAGTACAAATTACAAACTATCTTAGTAAATTCTGATAACCATAAAGTGAACAGTCAATGTGCAAACTACCAACCAATTGTCTCAATCTTCACTGTTTCTTCTGTAAATATCAGTTCATCTTCTCTAATTTCATTGTTTATGCATTTTCCTACCAATTGTGCTTCATTTCAGTTTTTTCCTTATCGGTCTTCTACCAAGATACATTCTATATCTGACCATCACCATATACTACTTATAAGGATATAAGTAGACCACACTACCTTAAATATATGGATTAAATTTCTTTAAAATAATAACCTTATTCTTACATTTTCATATAAAGAAAAAATAAGGTCAAGTATAACAGAACATTTTAACTCCCTATTGTTGTAACAATCATACCTTATCTCTGATTTTTTAATAAACTTGAAATGGTTAATCATTAGATTAAGACACATCTATATGAACTATTTACCTTAAATTGAATGTATCATAGTATTCTACTGGCCATTGTTATTATTATCATTGGGGACATTTCAGTTGAAGATTAGTTGGATTAACTACTGATTTTTTTAATGATGTTTACTTGTTTCATCTCTTCTTCCGTTGTATTGGTTTCGGTAACCAAGTAATGTTATATAGTTAAGATCATGAGTCACTTAAAGCTAGACCATCAGAAAAACCTGAAGGCACTGGACGGTCGTTTCGTCCTATTGTGGGACTCCTCAGTGGCAGTGCGCATCCACGATCCCACCTCGCGGGATTCGAACCCAGGATCTATCAGTCCCGAGCGCGACCGCTTAAACACTGGACCACCGAGCCGGTATCCAATGGTGTAAATGTCTAACTTCAACCAATCCACGAAATTACGCGACTGACTTCCATTGTACTGGGGTAGTTACCTGTCTCTACTTGACATGGATTAGCTCCACTGACCATGACTTCTCACTAGAACACCAGGAATTACCTCATGGAGCCAGTCACTAGTGAGCATATGATATGTATTTAACTATTACACAACAAGTGTATCGAATAATGAATACATGAAATTCTACTTGGGAATTAAAGTCATACGGAAATGTTGACATTATTCTTTAGCAGAAATGGATAGTGTCTAGCAGTGGAATTCATTTGGACGCGCGTTTCGTCCTATTTGGGACTCGTCAGCTGGATGTACCTGTATCTCAGAGTTGGTGTTCACTCTGGGACTCAAACCCAGTACTGGCCACTATCCATCTTTGTGAATTCAGGCAATATCGAGGCAATACGCACAGTATGCACATATGGCTAATAAAAGACTGACCAGTTGCAGTCCTAAACATCAATGGGAAGATTCAAACAAGCAATACTAAGTGAATTATTCTTTAAGTGATTATGCTGTATTAAAATAACGATCGTTAGTTTAACTAAAGCTTGGATATTAAGAAGATCAATTTTAGAAACGTAGGTTGAAAGCAGAGTTATTAGGAAAAAGAGAATTACAATTCTTAATACTTTATTTATTTATTTATTTGAACACATAAGTATTGGTACAAAGGGGCACCGAATACATATGCGCCACACAAATCTCATTTGATTTGTGTGAGGGCTGCGATACTACCCGGGTGCCCAGACCGAAGCAGGTGGTTTTCTTAGGGGGTCACACCCGGAGCCTTTGACCTAAAAGTCTGATCCACAAGGCAGTGGAGCATCGTGAGGAGATGAAGTCCCATAGTAACTGGTGACCAACATACTCCATTTGTTCCATCAGAATCTTTGAGCTCATGTGCACCATTGATTTGGAACGTGTTATGTCTTGTAGGTTCAACGCTTTTTTCAGATCCTAAGCTATTTCGATGACCCCAGGGCTAGCACTACTCGGCTACTTGAACTCCATTAAGAAGACACGAGTATGAGAGAAACACTTTACTGCAAGGTTCGATTATGTACAGAAAATACAGGGATTTTATAGTAGTTAAGAGGCTTTGAGTTTACATAGTAACAGTGTGTTAAACAGTCAATCAGGATCTCGTTATTTTAGTAACATAGCTTCTAATTAATCGCTGATTGGTTGGGTCTATTTATGAGCCTCTGGAGGCTCTGATAGAGTTCACTTCACCTGTGGATCATCCTCATAGAACGAAAGTTTTTCAACTCCCCTAGGTGGACGTGCCATTTTTACCAAACCGGTTAAAGCGCCGGACATTCGCTTTTCGTCCTCTCAATTTCGTAAACAAGAGTAATGCCACTTGAAAGCAGTGAATAGAACTTGTATGGTAGTAGTTGTATATGTGTGTCCATGTGAGAGCATTTCTGGAGGGAGAGTTGACTCTCCCCACTCTCGGTTCGTATCAGGGCATTTGGGGGCTGAATGTTCATGTTATATGAATATCAGTGAGATAATACAATACAGAAAAAGTATCTAGGTAACAAAAGTATTAAAAGAGAAAGAATGAATACATTATAACCTATAGGCAAGAAGTGATAACTTTGTGGTTAGCTACTTTTTGTCGTTCAGTACATCATCGATCATCTTATCTCGAATGTTTCTTTTTTTGTGCATGTTTTTGATTTGCGTAAACACTTTATTGCTTTTTATTAATTCTCTCTGTACTTAAGTCTTACGTATTAATCATAGAAAAAGGATTATTATTAATAATAGTAGTACTAGTATTAGCTTTATTCAATATTATATTTTTGGTACAATATAGAATTCTCAGCATAAAGTACTTCAACAAGTTTCCGTTTCTTACTTCGTCGATGCTGACGATAAATATTCAGTGATCACCAGTTAGAAGTTAGCAGTCCAGTTAGTCGACATCTGAATAATGTACTTTTTTTCTCTCTGCATATTGTCAGCAACCACGATATCTCTGATTAGGCCTTTTTTAATCTTTACAGCGAAAAGTTGTACACTTTTCAGAAACGTACCTGAATAGATTGTGTGATTAATAGCCATAATGATATATTAAAACAAACAAAATTAGATAAGTTGTTGAAATATCTAGATAACAGGAACAGGTAGCCCAGACGTTTGCAACACAAATCGATTTTAATTAAACCATCAAAATGCATGTTTCAATCATTGAAGAATAAATTATGGAATAATTCATGTAATTTGGATGATAATAACAACAACTCAGTTCAAACGAAACAACTTATCAATGGACAATGTCAACAAACATTCAATTCAGTATGTCAAAAAGTCTTGAAACGTTTCGTAGAAATTATGATTTTGATTTAAATCAAATGAAACCTGTTGTTGATCTGATCAGTTGTAATATCAGTAATGGTGATGACGAAAATCAACATCATCACCGAAATCAACACACAAGACAGTGTTTGTATAGATTCCACTTATCGTTCTTCTGAAGTTTCACACAAATTATCAAGTTATTTGTTTTCCAATATTTCATGTTCAAAGAGTGTGAATTGTGTTGAGGAATGGGAAAATATTTCATACTCTAAGTAGAAAGTATCTCCCTGTTCACCATCCACAAATGAAACTGACTGATAAGTTGACACATAGTTATTGTCCAATTTCAATATTGTTTATTGACCACATGCAATTTGTTTTCGAAATCAATTTAAATCTGTCTTCAAGTTTTCATAACATTGTAGAAAATTTGTGGTCTTATTTCTTGTGACAATCACATGTCACTCGTAATTATTGAATGAATGAGTGTACATAATGTGTAAGTGTGAGTAGTAATGCGATAACTATATAATTGGTTAATCACTCCAAACAGAACATTTATCAATGCAATTGTCCATTTCCACTTCTGTTAATAATGAATCAGTCAGTTATTCATAACGTAGAACTTCGTGCATACGTACATCAGTTCGAGTTGCCATATCACTTTAGCACAGAGATGCAGTTGTACATTCAAACCCCATAGTGGTAGAAGTAGTAAGACTATAAGCAGTAATCCGAAAGATTAGGGTTTGAAGATGTTATTGAAGGAGTATAATCCAGTGAAATAAATTTGGGAAGAGAAAAAAGATAGAGACCTGAAGAATTCAGAAGATTAGAATTTGGTAAAACACAAGGAGTGGATGTATCTTTGCCATTGCAAACGATTTTGAGCCATGTCATTCAAGGTCTCTAACCATCGATTGGTATCTTCTCGTAAATCCCAACCAGGTAGTCTACACCTACCAACATGGCTTAGTCCACTTGTCAGTGACTTCATAGCTTTTTGCCACGTTTTGGTCTGGCCACCCCTATCTTTCTTCCAACCTAATCCTACACCACGAAACATTGCACGTCGGGACAATCGGTGGTTGGGCATACGTAACACATGTCCCAGCCACCTCAACTGATGAGGTTTCAGTACTTCATCAATCGATTTGCCATCCTTTGCCATCGGGCGGCCTGCTTAAACATCTGGGCTACCTGTTTCCCGTCATCTATATATTTCAACAAGTTATCTAATATTGTTTGTTTTAATACATCATTATGGCTATTAAGCACACAACCTATTCCGGTGCGTTTCTGAAAACTGTACAACCTTTCGCTGTAAAAGTTAGAAAAGGTCTAATCAGAGATGTCGTGTTTGCTGGGAACATGCAGCAAAAAAGGATATACATTATTCATATGTCGATTGACTGAACTTCTGACATCCAACTGGCGATCACTGAATGTTTATCATCAGGAGCAACGAAGAAATAAGAAACGTAAATATGTTGAAATACTTTATGCTGAGAATTCGATTTTGTACCAAATAATATAATATTGAATCAAGCTAATAATAATAATAATAATAATAATACCTAATACCCGTTTCCTAACAACTGCATTACTTACCCGGTGGTCCCAGAATATACGGGCAATGCTTCGAAGACACCTATGATCGAATACTAGTAGTCTACGAATATCCTCTACTGTTATCGGCCATGTTTCACTGCCATAAAGTAGGACGGAGCGAACTGCTGCATAGTAAACCCGTCCTTTGGCTGCTAGACGGATATCTCGCCTACTCCATAAATGACGCACGTTAACGAAAGCTAGACGAGCCTTCTGTATCCGTGTTGAGATTTTGTCACACACCAGACCACAAGGGCTAATGAGACTCACAAGATAAGTGAAGCGGTCAACACGCTCAACTACTTCACTCCCTATCATTAGTTTAGGTGCCGATGCAACCAAATCGTGAAGTAACATTTTGCACTTCGAGGGAGAGAATCGCATCCCGAGCATGCTTGCATAGTTGCTTATAATAATGAATAATGATTTGTGTTACTCGAACTATGAATAAGTGATGTTCGAATCAAACACTTTCCTCTTCAGATTATCCAAACTACTCGAATGATTATGTTTAACAGTGACCTAGTCAATTTCTATAACAATTTTCATTCAGCTGTTAATATGATAAACATTTTTTTTATTATTTATTTGAACACATATTGGTACAAAGAGGCACCAGATACATATGCGCCACACAAATCTCATTTGATTTGTGTGAGAGCTGTGATACTACCCAGGTGCCCAGACTGAAACAGGTGGTCTTCTTAGGGGACCACACCTGGGGCCTTAGACCTAAAGGTTTGATCCACAACGCAGTGGAGCATCGTGAGGAGATGCAGTCCTATGGTAACCGGTGACCAACGATTGATTCATACACCATTTGTTCCCTTAGGATACTGGAGCCCATGTGCACCATTGGTTTGTAATCAGGGTTTTCCAACTCCCCTAGGTGGGTTTTTCGTGTCCACCAACGCAGTTAAATCGCCGTACACTCGCTTTTCGTCCTCTCAATTTCGTAAACATGAGTAATGACACGAGAAGGCAGTGAGTAGGACTTCCCTGTCAGAGGTTATATACGCGTGACCATGTTAGAGCATTTCTAGAGGGAGAGCTGACTCTCCCCACTCTTGGCCGTACCAGGACATTTGTGGGCATGATATACACTTAACACTAAAGATACTTCAACAATAATTATCTAACTGATAGTGATATTTGAGGGTTAACATTGTTTTATCCAAATTAGGAATATATTTCTCTGAAATCAATGGATTAAGTTATGAGTTACAATTATCATATGTCATAACTATTCAATCAATTCAGAGCTGATATTGAATATCGTAAAATAATTTAACACAAATTGGCTAGTAACAATTACAAATAAATTTTTTTTAGACTAGAAAATGTCCACCTTGAATGTATTCTAATTTAAAGTGATTGAGCTCTGATCAACTGTCACTTCGATAATGGTTCATCGAACAGGAATTGATCTATGCCATTACGAAATGATTTGATATCAAGTTCTGTTTTGATATTAAAGTGTATAGATGACAGGATACAGGTAGCCCAGATGCTTAAGCAGGTCACCAGTTGATTTAGATTTGTAGAGGTTTGTAGAACTACTGTATGTTAGTTAAAATTAGTGGGTAGTTTTATTTTTTTCTTTCTCTATTACTCCATAAATATAGTTGAATAATTAAATAGATCGTAAATGGGATCATTGATAATACTTATACCCCCATTCATTTCTAATCTTTGAATCAGTGTGGATCAGTTGTCAATCATACGTAATATTAGAACCTTGCATGTATGATCATCAGTAACATTATCAGTGATAATATTATAAAAGTTTACACATAAAAGGTATGATTCGAAAAGAAAATATAAATTAGTGAAATAAAAATAAGGAAACTCCGTAAAAAATGCAATTTAAAAAGGTAGGATCTAAGGAAAGATGCAGAGTAAATACATCTACGCCGTCGTAAAGGATTCTGAACGATTGCGTTTGAAGTCTCTAATCACTGGTTACGATAATCGCGTGAACCTCAACTAGGTAGTCTGTACCTACTTGCACAGCTCAGTTCAACAGTCAACGATTTCATGGACTGATGTCACGTTTTGAAATCACTTTTATTGTCTGCCGTAGTTTGAAGTGTTACCTAACTTTAAAAGTGAAGTTGGTGAGGTACATTTTAGACCGTCCCAGTCAAAGTTTCAAATCATAGATTATGATTATCACTTGGGCTTCAACTAGGAGGTGTAAAGCCATAGATTACATGGACTGACTCCATGTTTTGATTTCCCCATCCTTATCTTTTTTCCATTCTATGTCACCCAACATTGATCGTTAAGGTTGAGGTGGCTAGACAAACATGAAAATATGACTGATTGGTTAAGACGTCCAACTTTCAACAACTAAGTCACAAGTGATAGCTTCTTTACTTCTGTTTGAACGACCTGGTATTATCACTGACTGTCTGTAACTTTTAAATGATTTAAAGAGAATAACATATTTTTAAGACACTTCAGTCGATTAGAGTTTATAGGTTCATCAGTCAACCATTTCTATGTAAAAGTTCTACGACTAATTTCCATGAATACTCATGTGCTATTCAATAGCGTTAAGGGCGGCTCATAGTGATTTCTGTTGTTTCAGATTTCATCATTTTCCAATCGGCCTCGTTTGGAACATACGTGTACAATAAGTTGATTATTTTCAACAGCTTATCACTGACGGTGAACGCATGAAGAAGCTCATAGTTGTCCTGTAGACATACTCTAAGCTTCAATAGACCAAAGATTCTGTGATAAATAAAGACATAAAGAGTAAGTTGATCGATTGATTAGAATAGCTGATATGTTACCATTTAATAAAATGATGTAAATCGAATATTTCACATCAAAAAATCTTTCTTTGTATTAATCCCATATCAACAATACTTTCTTCAACTTTATTAGATCTTTTATGTATTCATTATCCCAAAACGTTTTAATGGTTAATCGGTAGGTTTACTAAGTGTATATCTGTAGACACTAAACTACTCACAACTAGTCTACAGTCGATTTGGGTTACTGGGTAGGAAGGGGAGTGAAAATACTTTATTTTTAGCCATCTGTATTTTCCATTGATGTATGATAACACCCTCAATATTTAATAATAAATATGATGTGAACTTAACAGAACCTGATAGGTTCGTAACTATCGTTACTATGATGTATTTGTTTGTATTTTTCATAGTTGAAATCATGAGTCAGTTGAAGCTAGACCACCATGGAAAACCTGGAAGCACTGGACGGCCGTTTCGTCCTATTGTGGGACTCCTCAGTGGCAGTGCGCATCCACGATTCCACCTCGCAAGATTCAAATTCAAAATCTTCCAGTGCTTCTAGGTTTTCCATGGTGGTCTAGCTTCAATTGACTCATTATTTCTACTATAAAAATACTGAAATCTCTACAAAACCGCTTCTGATTATAAAATGATAAACAATGAACTTCTCATTGCTTCTATCATAGGATTTAATTGTGTATACTTCATTCTATTGTTTTATTAGCTATGGACATCAGGGATAACGATTAGTTATTCATATGCTCCTGGAGCTGTAAACGCCAAAGATATCAATACAACATTGTATTATATTGCATCAAATACTCCAGATTTTTTATCAACTCAATTATCACTGAATAATTCAGCTATAGATGAATATAAAATTCGATACAGAGATTATGATCAATGTTTTCGAGGGATGTATACTTTGTGAGTTTTTTAAAAGTTATTTATGTTGATGTTTACAATGCCAAAAAATAACATTGTTAGTTGTATGTATGACGTAATAAAAAGATACTGACTCAGTAGGTTACCTATCATGTACTTTCTAAGTAGTGGTATGACTTAGTAACTGTTTTCATTATTAAGGTAGATACTTACTTACTTACTTACTTACTTACTTACTTACTTACTTACTTACTTACTTACTTACTTACTTACTTACTTACTTACTTACTTACTTACTTACTTACTTACTTACTTACTTACTTACTTACTTACTTACTTACTTACTTACTTACTTACTTACTTACTTACTTACTTACTTACTTACTTACTTACTTACTTACTTACTTACTTACTTACTTACTTACTTACTTACTTACTTACTTACTTACTTACTTACTTACTTACTTACTTACTTACTTACTTACTTACTTACTTACTTACTTACTTACTTACTTACTTACTTACTTACTTACTTACTTACTTACTTACTTACTTACTTACTTACTTACTTACTTACTTACTTACTTACTTACTTACTTACTTACTTACTTACTTACTTACTTACTTACTTACTTACTTACTTACTTACTTACTTACTTACTTACTTACTTACTTACTTACTTACTTACTTACTTACTTACTTACTTACTTACTTACTTACTTACTTACTTACTTACTTACTTACTTACTTACTTACTTACTTACTTACTTACTTACTTACTTACTTACTTACTTACTTACTTACTTACTTACTTACTTACTTACTTACTTACTTACTTACTTACTTACTTACTTGCTTACTTACTTACTTACTTACTTACTTACTTACTTACTTACTTACTTACTTACTTACTTACTTACTTACTTACTTACTTACTTACTTACTTACTTACTTACTTACTTACTTACTTACTTACTTACTTACTTACTTACTTACTTACTTACTTACTTACTTACTTACTTACTTACTTACTTACTTACTTACTTACTTACGCCTATTATTCTTAATGGAGCATAGGCCGCCGACCAACCCGCTTTATCTTGAGCCTTCCTTTCTAGTTCTATCTAGTTTTTGTTCATTCTTCTCATGTCTGTCTCCATTTTTTGGCGTAATGTGTCCTTTTACCTTGAGGATTCCATGTGCGAGCTTGTCTTGTGACGCAGTTGGGTGACTTCTTCAATGTGTGTCCTATTGAAAATATCAGTAGTATAATGTTTGATGCTTACGAGAGGATTTTTCCCACTCTATTCTTAAGCATTCGATTAGTAAAGTGACTTCTTGATGTAACCAATATAGCTCATAGTTCATTATAAAATGGTGTATAAAGTGGATACGTAGCACTGTCATTAAGGTGTGGGTTACTGATCTACATTTTGGTAGATAAGAATGTCTTTTCCGTCACCGTCTAAATGCATCTTCATGTTCATATTCTTTTTAGTAGTTTGATCCATTATTATGTTCTTCATCTAATAACATGAATTGTTTTTTGTAAGCAAAGATGGATAGTGGCTAGTAGTGAAATTCAGTTGGACACGTGTTTCGTCCTATTTGGGACTCGTCAGTTGAATGTACCTACATCTCAGAGTTGATGTTCACTCTGAGACTCGAACCCAATACCTTTCGCTTCAAACGCTATCATGTTATCTACTCAGATACTAAGCTTTTGTGTTTTTTTTTCTAATTACTTATTCTCGTGCTTTATTAGCTTCTCTCATGAATTCAATTAAATAGTTGTACACATACAGCAACATATGTTAATCAGTATATATATTTATTCATTATCCCATAGGTAGGAAGTAGTTTTGTTGTTTTTGTCAACACTATCTATTGTAAATGTTACACGGTAACTGCGTAAATGACAAACATACAATGAGGGAGGGGGAAACCTAACTGTCCATAATGTGTATACAAATAACATGTATATATATATATATATATCCACTTTGTCCTTCTGACCTTGACCAAATATCCTCCAATAGCATATCTCATTCATATTTTCTTTCTCATTTTTTTGACCTTGAGGATGTGAGTTGTCTGATGTATACAGATTATTTTGCTTTGTCTAGATTTTACTCAATTTATCAATAAACAACAATCAACATTTCCTCGTGTGTTTTCTTTTTTCTCTTTTGTTTTTTTTAAAAAAAAAATTATTTTCTCAATCACTTGATTTCCGGGTTAAGTTGTTGATCTTAGTTTTATTAATGTAATTATAGAGATGTTTAAAATGTTATCGTTGAAATGATGAGTCAATTGAATCTAGTCCTTCACGACTCCCTGGCTGGGGTCCATCTAAGAGATGGTGCAACACAATGGTTAGAAACTTTATCAGATATAGCTCAGAATAGAAGCCAGTGGCGAGTCTGCTGTAATCTTCTTTCACTTTCTTCATAAAGAGTAGTTATAACTTCTTAACTGAAAGTCTCTTGGTTGTATATTTCAGTTTCCCCTATTATGACTCTTCCCTTTTTATCATTTTTTTTCCTTTTATATATACGCATCTTCCCCCTTTCTCTCCTCATTTTCATTGTTTTGTGTGGCGCATATGTATCTGGTGCCCCTTTGTACCAATATGTATGTGTTTAAATAAATAAATAAATAAGACCAGCATGGATAACCTGGAAGCACTAGACGGCCTCTTCGTTCTATTGTGGGACTCTCCAGCAGTGCGTATTCACGATCCTGCCTCATGAGATTCAAACCCAGGATCTGTCAGTCTCATGCGCTAGCACTTGACCACTGAGTAAGCCAGCATTCAACGGTGCTAATGTCTAACTTCAAGTGATCCACGAAATTGAACAACCATTCACCAATGTCTTCAGCGAGTTGATATCTCCCAACAGACCTGGTTGAACTTCACTGGTCTTATGTGTTGTAATTTAAAACAGTCATAGAAAAAATAAGATAAAAGTTCATTAATATTTCAGTGAATACTTGTAATCCTATAAACAAAGATGATTAGTAGCTAGTAATGGAAACCAGGACGTGCTTTTCGTTCTATTTGGAACTTATCAGCTAGATATATCTGGATCCCAGACTTGTTGATATTCACTCTGAGACTCAAACTCAGAACTTTTCGCTTCAAATACCATTACATTATCCACTTATCTATTAAGTCTTGAGATGTAGTTACATCCAAATGACGAGTCTCAAATTAGGATGTGTAGGAAGGATTTGAATGTGACCAACTTGGTCTCGTGTGTTGTTACGGCTATGAGGGCTAATATCACTTCCCGGCTGCCCACACCGTGGAAGGCTATTTCTTGAGTGACCTGAAAAGATAGTTGGATTAGTGTTGGTCTTAACGACCTGGGAGCGTGACCGCAGTGCCCAAAGGACAACTGCTTGAGGCTGGTCACGCACAACCTTTTTGTGGGGGATTTTTGACGTGTTAGCTCCGTTCTTCAAAGGACCTTCTCGCCGGAGACGGATATCCGTGGGATAAGGCGAGGTGTGCATTTTTAGGGTCGACCTTTTCTAACCCCACCCCTCCTTGTGGGAAGGCAGCATCGCTGCCATGCTGGTTGTCTGAAGGAAACACCTTACTGCTGTCATACCTCTGTACAGTTGGCAGTACGACTTCGCCTTCGGACCTTGGGTTTACTGCTTTTAGTCTTACCGCAGAACAACCGACCTGTCTGGCATAGTAGGACCTTGAGAAACGATTTTTCCAGCCAGTATAGCTCCATTAGTTCATCAAGATAGGCTAGCCCGACCACCACGTGAAGGTAGCAGCAACGGTTGCGTCGGTCGGTCGGTCGGTCCCAAATACTAGCCACTATCCATTTTTGCTTATAAAGCTTGTAACTTAAAACAATATCAAGGCATTCCTCACAGTATTCGCATATACCAAATAAGAAACTGATCAATTTTAGTCCTAAATAACAATACCTTTTCTCATTACATAAACATCAATAATCACTATGGCACATAATTCTTTCTTAATAACATGTATACTATTGTCATGTATTCATTTAATGAAGAAGAAGAAGAAGAGAAAAGCAAAAACAATTCACTACATTAATTTCAATTATAATAACATTTATATCTAATCAATTAATTAGTTGATTCATTCATATTAATCGATCAATTAATTTATTGATCAGTTATTGATTAATTATTTATTTTTACCTTTTCAAATGGCAATTTTCTAGAATATTCTACAATCATAATAATCTTTATTGTCAAATAAATCAATAAAATATTATCAATATCTGAGGTGGAGGGGTTTTTTTTTGTTGTTTTTTTTTCTTCTTGTATATTGTGTTCTTTGTTTATTTTTTTGAGAACTATATTGATTTTCTTTGTTGAAAACCAAAAAAAAAAAAAACTACTCTTTCTTTTTATATAATTGAAATCATGAGTTCATTGAAGCTAGACCATAATGGAAAAACTGGAAGCACTGGATGGACGTTTCGTTCTATTGTGGGACTCCTGATTTTAACTATATAAAATTATTAAAATCTCCACAAACCCCCCCCCACTTCGAATATTCCTACTTATGCCATGTTATTTATATATACTTGGTAATACACTCATATTGACTTGATTTGGGTTTTTTTTGTTTATCTGAACTATCCGACATTATTTACCTGAGCTGGATTGTATTTAAATTACTAATAAACAACAATTCATGATATATACAGATATAACAATCAATTATCTTATTCTTAACTGTTCCTTGTACAAATATGAGCCCGTCTTCTCTGATTTCATTATTCTTGCATTTTCTTACCGATTGCGCTTCATTCCTGTCCGTTCCTTATCGATCTTCTGCCAAAATACATTCTATGCCTGACCATCATCTTAAACTACTTATATGGATATAAGTAGACTATACCACAGTAGTAGTATAATGGATCATGTAGGAGCTACATAAATCAGAAATCATATTCTTTTGAATAATGATATTAATAACATGAGCTTCGACTTTTACGGATAACTTTGTTAAATTTAAAATCTTTAGACAGTTTACATAAAA